TTTTTTTTCTGCTTATGTGGTGCTGAGGAATCGAACCCAGGGCCTCATGCATGCAAGGCAAGTGCTCTACCACTGAGCCACCTTCCCAACCCTCTTATCTGGTCTTATATGTACCTATACATCAAATGTTCAAGTTGATATGGATTTTTTTGTGTGTCAGCCATGGGGCTTGAACACAGGGCCTACATGCTGTACCTGAACTCTTTTGCTCAAGGCTAGCACTCTACCACTTGAGCCACAACTCCATTTCTGGCTTTTTGGTGGTTAATTGGAGATAAAGAGTTTCATGCACTTTCCTGTTCAGGCCAGCTTTGAACTGCAATCCTTATATCTCAAGCCTCCTGAGTAACTAAGATTACAAGGGTGAGCCACCAGTACAGGGCCAAAAGTTTTTATCTTTACTTTAGCCTATTCTAGTAATATAATCATAGGCTAATGACATAAGGCTGAATGATAAATCAGTGCATCCCACTCCAAATTCAATGTGAGCTTACAAATTATATTCCAGTTCATGAAATAATTTTTCTTACAAAAATTTTTAACAGAAGATTAAAGTTATAATCTCTTATGAAACCAAGGTAATTTACCCACATATATACCTCCCTGACAAAATGGTAAGACACCAAGTAAATAACATCTGTAAGCAAATATTTAAAATAACCCAATCTTGTCCAATTGTGTTGGAGGATTTGGACAGGTTTCTGTCTCTTGTGAGCCAATTTTATCATTTACCTTTCTTCATTTTATATATGTAAACCACATTTGACAGATACACATAGACATTCTTCTCTTATTGTAAACAAGCTACTCCCAGCTCCATTTCTCCATACTTTCACTGATATAAACAGGCAAGGAAGTTAAAAGAAATATCTTATCTTGATGTTTACTAGGCCAGTGAAGATAAGCTAAGATTTTAAATTTTGTCTAGTTAGTGACCTCACTTATTCAACTGAATATTCTACACAATAATATAATTTGAGGGGGAAAAAAAGACCACTGAAGTTTTTGTGTGTGTTTGCTAGAACTGGAAATTGAACTCAGGGCCAGGGCATGCTCCCTTCGCTGTTTGTTTAAGGCTGGCACTCTACCATTTGAGCCACCAAACCTGGTGCCCAGCCTGGATTTTTTTTTAACTGAACAGAGGACATGGGTCTCTGTTCCAGGAAATACTAAAGCTGCTGAATTTTAACTCTGTAGCAGTTCCAGCCTTTGCTTTCCCTCCTGAATGACAATCAGATGACTGGAAGCAGCAGAAAGTCCCTGGGAAAGCTAGGTTCCCAGGTTTCCATCTCCTTACTCTGTCCCCTTCCCTCCAGCTGTTCCATTAACACGAAGTACTTGAGGACAGGAAAAGAAATATGTGTAGTGCTCTACCAAAAAAAAAAAGAAGAAAAAGAAAAAAAAATCGGCTCTACTTTACAAAGATATCTACTTGTTCTCCTTGCCCTTGCCCAACCCAGACAAAATTCATTCAACATAAAACAGCGCAAAGAGGGCAAAGAGAAAACAGATGACCATCTCTGAGATAGTCACCTCATGAGGTAGGAAAGGTAGGAGAGGATTTCTATGCCATTCACAGATGTAGAAAGTGGCTCACAGCAGTACTGTGACTTTCCTAAGGCCAACAGGCAAGAAGACAAACTGAAACAAATGCTATGAATGGACAGAGGAAGACTATCTGGAAACTAGAAGCAGGAACTGTAAGGTTTTAGGCGAGAAAAGAACACACAGGAGGAGATAAAGGTGAAGGAAGCAAAGTTTATTGGGGTACGCTCGCAGGTGAATTCCCTGGTCAGGATCAGAGAAGTCGCGTAGAGTCTGCTTGTATCAAGGTTCATATGGCCGGGATCAGCAGGAACATTTAGCACACAACTTACTTTGCGCGTTTGAATGGTTTCAGGCTAGTGAAGAATGATTGGCACAGGTGGTGTATAAGGAAGTGGCTTTTCTCAGTTGCCTCTGCCCTCCAGAGGCCTGACAGTAACCAAATCAAGTAGGCTGTTTTTTATTCTAAATATGACAGGAAGCCGGGCACCAGTGGCTCATGTCTGTAATCCTAGCTACTCAGGAGGCTGAGATCTGAGGATCAAGGTTCAAAGCCAGCCCAGGTAGGAAAGTCTGTGAGACTCTTATCTCCAATAAACCACTCAGAAAACCAGAAGTGGTGCTGTGGCTCAAGTGGTAGAGCACTAGCCTTGAGCTGAAGAGCTGAGGGACAGCGCCCAGGCCCAGAGTTCAAGCCCCTTGACTGGAAAATAAATAAATAAATAAATATGACAGAAAGCCATTAGGGTATTTTAAACAGGGCTGAGATAGTGTAACTTACATTTTTAAGGGTTTGTTGTGGTTGCTGAATTGGCAATGGCAAAAATCAGTAAGACATTGCTACAAATGCACAATTCAAAGACAGAGAAAGTTGGGTGTAGATTTTGGTGTTGATACAAAGTATCGGATTCTAAGGCAGGTATCAGTGGCTCACTCCAGTAATCCTAGCTACTCAGGAGGCTGAGACCTGATGATTGAGGTTTGAAGACAACCTAGGCAGGTTGTTTTTGTTTTTGTTTTTTTTTATTTGTCGGTCATGGGGCTTGAACTCTGGGCCTGGGCACAGTCCCTCAGCTCTTCAGCTCAAGGTTAGCACTTTACCACTTAAGCCACATCACCACTTCTGGCTTTTTCTGCTTATGTGACAGTGTTGAGGAGTTGAACCTAGGCCCCCATGCATAGGAGGCAAGCACTCTACCACTGAGCCACCTTCCCAGCCCTCTATGAGATACTTATCTCCAATTAAACAGCAAAAAGCCAGAAGTAGAGCTGTGGCTCAAATGGTAGAGTGCCAGCCATAAACACAAAAGGTAAAGGGACAGTGTGCTCAAGGCAGGCCTCCTTGAGTTCCATACGTACAGCAGTACCCCCCTTCATGCCCCCCTCCCGCCGCCAAATACACTGACATGAAGTGCAGAAAAAAAAAGCCATGTGTATATACAAATGACTCAGCTTTTGGGGGTTGTGAAATGGAGGTAGAAAGACTGTCAACCACAAATACCCTACAGCACAGAGATTTCATAAGATAGTGAATTTATTTACCAAAGTTTATAAAGATTCCACAATAAATGGCCATTTGAGAACTAAGTAAGGAGCTAAGGGACAAATAAAAATAATACTTAGACCCAGCAGGTGGCAGGCTATGGAAATCTAGTACCACAGGTGGTGCAGCTGGAAAATGTTTTAGCTCAGTAGGTTAAGAACAAAGAACAAAATGTTCCATAGTTCTTTGCTACCAGTTAAATTAGCCTAAGTGTGCCATTCCTCCCCCCTCCCCCCATATATACTTTAAAAAGATTATAGCTGGAGATCAGTCACACTGACTCTGAAACTCTTCTTAAGAAGCAGAATTATTTCTGAAGTTCCCTGGCAGGGAATGTCCTTCCAAGTAGATTTTCTTATTAAGCTAACATTTGAACCACTTTTATACAACATAGCCAGGATATCAATAAGAGATGGTTGTTTTATGTTGTTTTATTTTGAGATAAGAGTTTCACTTTGAGGGCTGGGAAGGTGGCTCAGTGGTAGAGCACTTGCCTTGCATACATGAGGCCCTGGGTTCCATTCCTCAGCACCACATAAGCAGGAAAAAAAAGCCAGAAGTGGCGCTGTGGCTCAAGTGGTAGAGCACTAGCCTTGAGCTGAAGAGCTGAGGGACAGAGCGCAGGCCGAGTTCAGGCCCACGACTGGACCCTAAAAAGAGTTTCACTTTGAGTCTCAGACTTGCCTAGGCTGCATAGCAAGACTTCACCTGGCTGGGGGGTGGGGGGTGAGGGGAGGACAGGGGAAGCAAAGCATGCCTGGAATCCTAGTTATTCAGGGGGCTGAGATATGAGGATTACAGTTCAAAGCTAGAGTGGGCAGGAAAGTCTATGAGACTATCATCTCCAATTAACCTTAAAGGTGTGGCTCATGTGGTAGAGCACTAGCCTTGAGTCAAAAAGCTAAGGGACTGTGCCCAGGGACTGGGAAGGTGGCTCAGTGGTAGAGTGCTTGCCTTGCATGTGTAAGTCCCTAGGTTCAATTCTTCAGCACCACATAAGCAGAAAAAGCCAGAAGTGGTGCTGTGGCTCAAGTGGTAGAGCACTAGCCTTGAGCTGAAGAGCTGAGGGACAGCGCTCAGGCC